AGACCTGCCTGGGCAGCGAGACCTCATCTCTACAATAAATCAAAAAATCAGCCGGGCGTGGTAGTGCATGCCTGTAATTCCGGCTACTTGGAAGGCTGAGGCGGAAGGATCGCCGGAGCCCAGCAAGCGAGGCTGAGGTGGACAGGAGCAGCCACTGCACTCCAGTCTGGGCGACAGAGTAAGACTCCAACTCAAAAAAAAAAAAAAAAAAATTACTTATACAAAGTAATAAATTAAATCGGGAAAAAATTAAGTTCAGAGTGAGGAAACATATAACATGCTCATAGACATAAACCTAAACATATTATGAATTGTATTAAATGTGAGTGAAATTCAAATGCTTTAATTAAATGGCAAGGATTATAATATGAAATTAAATAAACTAATTAGAGTCAACTATATATTATTTATAAAAATAAACCTTAACTATAAAGATCAGAAAAATTTATAATAAAAGAATGGTGAAATACATGCCATACAAATACACACCAAAATAAAGCTAATATTATCTATCCAGATCTTAGAAAATGCAGAACTTAATGCAAGAAAAATTAAGAGGGACAAAGAAAGAAACATGTAAGGTTAAAACTGTAAATTCAATAAGAATATTTTTATGCAACTAGTAACATAGGCTCAAGAGATATAAATTGAAAACTACTAGAATTAAAACAAGAAATAGATTAAGCATACAAAGTTTAAGAATTTAGTATTATGATAAATAATAAAAATCAACTGCAAAATTTTGAGCATTATTAACCAACTTGAATTTTAAAAATAGGATTCTAATGATAATTTTAATAATTTATTGGAAGAGAAATAAGAATTAGAAAAAATGAATACTTTGAATATTTGAGTATTCAAACTTTTGAATCATAAGAAGAAATTTTAATGTAGATTGAAGCATACATATATAAGCCTAGAAATAGGCAAAGTGAGTAATGACAAATTTATTATCTAAGCACTGAAATCAATACACTGAAAAAAATACAAGTTAAACAGAAAGAAAAGAGGAAAAATTGAATTAATATAATAGAAAACAAGAATATAGAAAATAAAATAGCCAGGATTTGTTTCTTTAAAAAGACTAATATAATTTATAAACATATTACAAGTCTGATTAAAAATAAAAGAGAAGTCACAATTTTTATCTGTATTAGTCATTAAATACTAGAAATCAAAAATACAGCCATAAGAGATAGTAAGTATTCTATAGTTTTATAATAATAAAGTAAAAACTAATTAAAAACTAGTATAAGAAAAATACTAAGTCTAAATCTAAATAGCCTTATATCCACTAAATAAATTGAACCCGTTTATTCTTCCCATAAAGAACTCTTCAGATCCAGATGGCTTCAACAGTGAAATCTTGAAGCATTTACAAAAAAATCAATTGCAATCATATCCAAACAATTTTACACAATAAAATAGAAGAATTCTTATTTGTTTTTTATTGTCACCACAATCTTAATCTCTATCTCTGAGAAGGATATCAAGAGAAAAAATACATAGCACACTATCTCTTATGAACATAGGTGCAAAAATCCTAATAATCTAAATCAATGAAGAAAAGACTTAGAGTAAATGCACTCATTAATAGTAACTAGAAATAGGATGAAAAAATTCTTAATCTGATAAGATTGGCTTATTTACAAAAATCCCAAAACTAAACTATACTAGTTGCAAAAATATCAAATATTTTCTTGTGAAATTGAGAACCAGATAATATCTATTATGATTTTAATGCAATATTATATATAAGACTTTATTTCAATAAGGCAATAGAAGTAAATAAGGCATAAAGATGGAAGGGGAAAAATAAAATTTTCATTATTCACAAGTACCGTGATTGTATACCTAAGAAAAAGCATATTTTGAAATAATAACATATTTTAAATTTTATTAAAATTAGTAAGTGGATTTCTCAGTTAACAATAGGACCCAAACACAAAGAACATTTTTTCTGTGTAGACATTGGTAATAATTTGAAAATTAGATTTTAAAGGTGTACAATTTCGATTAGTCTTAAAAACATTGATTATATAGAAGTGGTTCTAATGAAAGGCATGCAAGACCTCAACACAGAAAATTGCAAAAAAAATTAGTGAGAGAAATTAACAAAGAACAAAATAGAGAAATATTCCATGAGGACTATTCCTGAATTGGAGGACTCAAAACTGTAATCATGTCAATTCTTACCAAATTAATTTACTAGTTTAATGCAATTAAAAGCAGTGATAAGTTTGTGTATGTGTTTATGTTGTGTGTGTGCACGTGAAAAACAACAAACTGATTTTAATATTTATATTAATAATGTAAAGACATAGAATTAGCAAGACAAAAATGAATATAGTGAACTTATACCAACATCATCAAAAGTTAAAAAAAATTGATATGGTTATGATGCAAGGACATATCAAGTGAATAGAATAGCATTTTTATGGTCATCTGATTGACAACAAATATGATACTGCAATGCAATTACAAAATGATAGATTTTTAAATAAATATTCCTAGGTCACTTGATTTTCTATATTAAAAATGAAAAGAACATTGACTTTTATACTTCATGCTACCTACCCCCCCAAAATAAATCAATTCCTCATAAATGAAATTAAAACAATAAAGATTTAGGAGCTAACAAAGGAGAATAACTTCATGATTGAGGTACACACAGATTTTTTAAAATGGAAATTTAATTACTGAGGAGGAATTGATCAATTCACATCTATCTATCTATCTATCTATCTATCTATCTATCTATCTATCTATCTATCTCTGAAGAACTTCTATTCAGAACAAACCTATTGCACAAAACAGAAGATGTAAGTAGTCAGTAAGCATATGTAAAGATGTTCATATGATTTGTCCTCAGGAACAAAAAATGGAACCATAATTATATACCTCTCCAAACACATTCTGATGTGTGTGGGTGTGTGAAATTAAAGAGTTATTTTAAATGGCATTACTAAGCTTAGGCGAGCATATGGAGGATCAAAAATTCTTGTGAAATGCTGATAGTAGTGTGAAATTGGTACAAATTCTTTGGAAAACTCCATGACATGATCTATTATGCTGAATATACACATAGAATAGACCAAGGAATTCCATACTTATGTATACTTAATGGAAATGCATAAAAATGTACACCAAATCACACATGTAAAGTGTTCTTAGCATCATTATTAGTAATTAGTAATTGTTTAAAACAGATTATCTATCAAGAATAAAATTTATGACTTATGAGGTATTTATGTGGTAGTCTACAAAAGAACAATGCAAAAGGACAGATTACAAATAATTTTGAGTGTAAGAAGCTAGAGAGAGATGCAGATATATCTAAAATATAATCCCATTTGTGTGAAAAAAAAAGTTGAAGAGGCAAACTCTGTGGGAATTTCTTTCAGACTAGTTCCTAACTTTGATTCAGGGAATAAAGTCTAAAATAAGATAGGGATCAGGTTTCTGAGATACTGGTTATGTTCTCTCTATATATCTGTGTAATGGTTAAATAGGCATATTCACTTTGTAAACATTCATAGAACTGTATGGTTAAGATGTGTGTACTTCACTTTGTTTTGCTTCAATAAAACACCTCATTTGCACATAATAAAAACTAGTATCAGAATGTTGAAATTTCTAGTAGGCTACTCAAATGTGTGTGTGGCAGGAATGGTGGAGATAGTAGTAGAACAAGCACAATTATAATCAACAATATTAAATAAGCACATAGTTATTTCCACTAAAGGTAGGAGAGAGGGAAGGAGAAAATAAAATCACCTAGTCTTTTGAAGTACATGCTATACTGGTTTATACAGAAAGAAACATCTCAGAGGGGCTAGATGACTCTCCTAAAATTACAGATTTCTATACATTAGGACCGGAACTAGCACCCAGGCCAGCTGTTTAACCCTATGCATTTTCAATATATAAAAACATAACTGAGTTTTTTGTTTTGTTTTGTTTTTTAAATCTTATACTGATGGAAAGATCATCTTATTCTAAAGGACAACCAATTTCCAAAGTTATGTTTGTTTCAATATTTTAGCTGGGCACAGGGCTCATCATGTAACCCCAGCATTTTGGGAGGCTGAGGTGGGAGGATAGCTTGAGTCAAGAAACTTGAAACCAGCTTGGACAACATAGCATGACCTCATCTCTACAAAAAATTTTTTAAAATTAGCCAGTTCTGGTGGAGTGTGTCTTCAGAACCAGCTACTCAGGAGGCTGAGGTGGGAAGATTGCTTGAGCCCAGGAGTTAGAGGCTGCAGTGAGCTATGATCATGCCACTGCACTCCAACTTGGATGACAGAGTGAGATCCCAACTCAAAACAAACACACACAAAATGTGGTAATGAGTGTGAGAGAAAAAAAAAGAAACATAGACACCACAGTTAACAAAGTTCTGTTTATACAACACACACACACACACACACACACACACACACACTCATACACACACACACACCCGTATGCACAAACACTTTAATCAGTACCAGAGAGCACAGTATTTTGCAATTTCAACTTAAAGATTAAAAAAAAAAACCCTCTCAATTCTAGGCTCACTGTCACACATTGTCTCAAAGAAAATCCCTCCTCCCAATATAGCTGGATCTTAGGCATCACTTGAATCTAAACAGAATGCAAGAGAAAGATTCATGAGCAGTATCATTAGACTTACTCCATGTGTACTCCTTGGTGTGCTCCCAGTCTAGTCCCTTTCATTCACAGTATTTTGAATTGCAAGTTGGAGACTTAGCATATCTGGTTTCATTATAGCTGGTTTCTTCTAGGAGAGTTTCTCAACCTTGGTACTAATTGACATTTGCAACCAGATAGTTATTTGTTGTGAGAATGTATATACCGATTGTAGAATGTTTAGCAGCATCTCTGATTCTCAACCTACTATATTGCCCAAGTGTCTTTGGGGGAGTGGGAGTGAGGAAATTATTCAAAGCTGAGAACTACTGTACTACAGATTGATGAAAACAAACTACAGAAATACAGAGGCAGAAGAAAGAGTGCATTTCTGACCTGTATATTTTAAGATGTTTTAAGCTTTTCAGGAGGATCTTTATGCTTAGATAATTTGTTACAACTGCCCTGTATTAGAGTGGTAGAAGGTGCTGCACCGTATCCATCATTTCAGACCTGACCTCTTTCCATTGGCTTCAGTCTACCTTGCTCTTCCTTCGGATGTCAGTTCGTAATAATTTCAGTTTCTTCTGGATCTCATTCAGAACACCAATTTTCTGCTCCAAAATGGACAATGACTGAGCAAGGCAAAAATCAATTTTATAATTTACTCTATCAGCTGTCTCCTGGATGTTCTCCCACCACTGGCTAGATTTTTCCTGAGAAGTTGTTGTATTTTTCATTAATGAAGTAGACAATGTTTCCACTTCTTCCATTTCGTTCTCTTCTTCACTTTGCATACAAGGTATTTTAATAAATTCGTCCCTCTGAAGGGACATTTCTGGATTTCTGATGTGTCTTTCGAACGTCTTTGATGCCTCATGTCCAATCGGATAGAAGTATCGATGGTAGGGCCTTATGTCTAGAGTTAATTCTTTTACTCTGTTTGCATATCTTAAAGTGTTGAGGGTGTTTTCACAAGAGGTCATCCCTGGAGAGATGGTAGCAATCATGCAAGTGAAGGAGTTCTGGCCTATAAAGGAGTCCCGGAGCACCTGTGTGAGTTTGCTGGCTCTGAAAGGGGTGTGTGGTTTGTTCTGCCCTAAAGCCAGGATACATTCTTTGAGTGCTAAGAGACTCTTGTTAATCTCCGCCCCTTCCAGCTGCCTATTTCGGTTGGCCTTGGCAGTATCTGCGCCCCTTTCATTCCCAGCTAAATCAACGAGGGAAAACTTGCCATGCAGTTTCCCACTTGATTTCAGGATGATCTGGAACACCGCGTGGCTCCTGGATGAGTGGACATTGACAGATGTCTGCCTGGAAGTCCGGCAACCATTTCCTATTTCCACGAGGTTCAGCACTTCCTCCACACAGCACACCTCTTGCTCCTGCAGCCCGACCACTTGGATTTGTTGATTGCCATCCTCAAGGACTTGCAGCTTCTTCTTCCAGTTCAACAAATCATATACCTTGCCCCCATAAATCTCAAAAAATGTCCCATAGACTTTGAGGTCCAGCTTCTCATAAGTGGAGTTTCTAAGCAGGAGAAAGACATCTTGTGCCACCATGGCGTAAATACCTTTAGAACAATCTTGGGCCCTTCCTGAAAAGGTTCCGCCCATGGTGTACGTTTTCCCACTGCCTGTCTGTCCATAGGCAAAGCAGGTGGCCATGCCCTTGCGGAAGATGGACTCCACCAGCGGCTGGGCGGTGAACTGATACACTAACTCATTGGAGGCCGTGTCATCAAAGGCATGGTCGAAGCAGAAGATCTGGTTCTCCAGGTAGCGAGTTAGATCTACCTTTTGCTTGGACTCATGCACCATAACCACATTGGCCGAGGGGATGGTGATAATATCCAGGTCTTTCATGGTGGTCTCGCGCTGGTTGAGAGGCCGCTTCCTCACGCAGACGCAGATCCGATGGTCTTCCAAGGGCTCCAGGCCTGGCAACTTGCTACTGTCCAGATGCCTGCGGTACTCTTCGATCATGCAACCGATCTCATAGTTGGGGTTTCTCATGTTGACATCGAGGGCGCGTCTAGCTCGGATCTCCAGCTGTAGCCGCCTGCGCTTCTCCCGCAGTGCCTGCAGTTTCTCAATTTCCCGTAGGCAGGAAGACTTTTTCTGCTTTGTCAGACAAGGGTTGCTGGGGACCCTCACAGCTAGGTTGTCCCCCGAGGGTGTTTTGTTTTTCTGGGGGGTCATCACGACCCACCTCGGGGCTGTACACTGGTCCCCGATGGCCGACGAGGACACTAAGGACAAAGGGGACAAGACCCCGGATGGCTTGGGATGTTCAGCAGAGTCCAGACCAGGATTCAGCAAGAATAGGGTCTCAAGGTCAATTTTCTTGCCCTTTGTTACCCCTTTCTCGACCCACTCTACCGTGACCCAAGAGTTTTCTCTGTTGATCTCTGTGACCACAGCGAGATGGACCCGCTTGTTGCTGCGCCGGATAGCCACACAGATGCCCACGTGGATGTCTCTGACATGTGGCCTCAAGGATTTCAGGGGCGAGAGGTGTGAGGCTGCAGGGGAATTGAACTGGCTGGCCATGGTGTGATGGAGGTACCAGGGTGCACTTCCAGGGGCCCTTGGAGTTGGAGCTGCAGGACCCAAGCACCAGCCAGCCTGAAGCGCCCAGAGCACTGAGCACCGGGGCGGTCTCTGCCTGCCTTTGCTGAGCCTGGCGCACAAAAGCAGGGTTGGGGCCACTCGCGTCACAAAAGGATAAGAAGGGGCAGCACTGCCAAGGACCTCTAGGTGAAAGGTAGGGGGGAAGAAACCAACTTTCTGGTGTTAGGAAAGCACAAAGGCAGCTGAAATAGAGATTGTTCTCTGCTAGTAAGGGTGAAGGGATTGGAGGATGAGGGGTGCTCTGAGTCATGTTAAGAAAGTGCTGGGAACAGAGAAGCCAAGGGAATGGAGGGTTGAAATGTATATATTTCAATGATATTTGTGCCTCGTACATGGAAATACCCATTTTTCCCTGCAGTCTTGACCTGCTGTCTCAAAACTCAGTGCTTTAGTTTGAGAACCTCTATGAAGCTCCCTTAAACCTTAACACAGTGATTAGTGAGAACAGATCAAGGTGGAGTTGTTTGCAAATCTCCAGCTTCAAAATTCTACAGGATCCCCCAAAAGACTCCTCAAACCTGCCATTTTTCTTTTATTCACCCACTTTCTTCAAAACGTGTATTTCGTTTAACAGTCACATGTTAATTATTTCAGTTTAATCGGCTTTCTCATTACAAAATCAAAATGAGTTGAATGTAGCAGGTCATAGTGGTGATTTGCTAATATGGAACTTCCTTTGGTAAGACATCTGGGTTTGCAAATGCAAGATGCTTATCACATTCCAAGTAGCTCTGACAGCTATAAAGTGAATTTTGTTGTTCTGCAGTCACTATCATTTTTGAGATTAGTTCAGTAATTACCTTTCCAAACACCTTCAGTAATTACACTTCTGGCCTCATTATCTATAATTTGGAGAGAAAGGAGAAACATATAGTGCAAAGAGATAATTAATCTTACATCCCCTTCCCACCCTAAATTGTGTGTTTGTGTGTGTCCTACAGAGCGAGACTCCAACTCAAAAAAAAAGAATTTGTTAAGGTTGGAAGTAAAGAGGTCTGGAAGGTAGCTTAAGACTATCAGATGCAAAAATATATTTTTGCAAGATTGGAATATTTTTCAGTGGGGCTATTTGCTTACAGGAAAAAAAAAAAAGAAAAAGAGAAAAAGACATTGACTTCCAGATAGGCCACGATGAGGGTAAAGCAACACTTTATATTCAACTTTCTCCCCCCAATCCCAAACATACCATATTGTCTTTTGTTCTGTGAGTTTGATCATACTTGTATTTACAGCTCCTAAGTAACAGGAGCTAGCCTTCTCTAGGACTAAGGAACATTATGAAAATAAATTCTAGTATAAATTAACTTTTTAAATAGAAAGTTTCTCTCTTCGGTAAATGTAGTAAAGCTTACATTTTGAAAAGAAGGTGGAAGGGGGATATTGTATAAATATGTAGCACTCATTTCAGGAGATTATAGAATGCTAGTGGAAAGAGAAAAGAAATGGCTTTGGGCAATTGTTTTGAAAATTATTATTTAAACAAATTTTCCCAAGTTATCAGTATTTAAAGTTGTTCTTAAATAAGGTTTTTTAAGGTTTCAAAACCATTATATCAATGCTTTTATTTCCTGTATTTGTCATTAAGTTAAACTGTAATGTTTAAAACCATTGCTGTTTTAGAATTGTAAATAGTTCCTTTCTTATTGTTTTAGAAAAAGCTAGGTCTCTCACAAAGTTTTGCAAAGTCTAACCCCTCCAGGTTACCTGTATTTCTTACACCTAAGCTAATGATTTTTGTTGGTTGACAATAGATGACCAGGTCCATGATGGTAGTGCCAAAATTGGAGACTAAAATTTCTTTTGGCACCTTCTTTTTTCTGTACAACATGACCCTAAAGGTCTTCCTAGGAATTTTAGGACTTTTTTTCCTTAGTTATGTTCTCTCTAATATAGTCCCCTAGGACACCACATTTATTCTTGCAATTTAATTTAACATATAACTAGCTAGATAGATAGTTGAAAACTAGATTTCTGAGTCCTATACCTATAGATGCCCACAGGAATTACAAATTCAACAAATCCAAAGCTGATTTAATTATTTTCTCTCTAAAAATGGCACTTCTTAGGTATTACCCACCTTCAAAAACTTGACACAAATCTTTGTTTTCTCTCCCTTTCAGTTCATCCTAACTTAGTTTCCTAGTCTCTAGAAGTTTGCTATAACCATATCATTTAATCTCTCAACCAATTATGGTCTCGATTTTTTGGGGGGGTTAACCTCATCCAATCAAGGACTCAGCCTATTTCTCACAAGACCACTAGAGTTATTTTGACAGACACTTTTAAAAAATTAATTCCCTGTTTATAAGTATTTTAGTAATTCTCCATTGTCCTAATGATATGGAACAAATTCTACCTGAAGGCACATGAAGCACATTGTCATTGCTTACTTTCTCATTCTCATGCTTTACCATTCTCTATACTTAATCTAAAGTTGAACCATGTTAAAGAAGTTAAAGTCCTTCAAACACACTATTTTATTTCAAATTTCTAATTTCTAGTCCAGGGGTTTTCAATACTAAGATATGTAAAAATCACCTGCAGGGTTTTTGAAAACACAGGTCACTGGGTCCTACAGCAGAGGTTTTGATTCAGTAGATCTGAAGTGGGGCTAAAAATTTGCATGTCTAGCAAGTTCCCGGGTAATGCTGATACTGCTGGTCCTGGGACAATACTTTGAGAATTACTGATATAGCCCTCTCACTAGATTAGACTTCCTCTTCCTCACCATTTTTTTTCATGAACCCTTCAATATCTATGCCAACCTTCACTATCCATGGATGAGTTTCTCTGACCTTGTTGATAATAACTAGGCAAAACAGGATTAGACTGAGAAACACTATCTGAAGAAATAATATCTATTACTGGTTGAGTTTGGCTGATTAGCGGAAGTGAAAAGTCTAATTTTTTCAGTAGTGAATTAAAAAAACTCTTATTGGTGAATATAATAGTAATCCGTTTATAGAGAATTGTTTGGATTCTTTTACAATTTTGATAATCTGGAACTTCATTTGCAACAATATCTTTTTATATCTGCTTATATAAAATTCAAAATTCAGAGACCATCTGCGTAGTTTTTTCTCATTTAGTGGAATATATTCCAACAGCCCAGCTCATCTAAAAAAAAAAAAAAACTATGAATCTTGAGTAATGAGATAAATACAGCATTTGTCAAAGTGCAAAGGCCTAGAAACAAGTTAAGTTATCATCCTTGGTCATGACCTGAATAACTTTTGGGAACATTTTCTTCAGATTAAAGACTGAAGTCACCACTATAGTTTTGAGCTGAAAGCAGTAAGTATATATAAAATGCTTGCCATGTTCCATTTCCTATGTCAAAGAAATTCTGTCTTCAGGGAGCTTACTATTTACACATATTGTTTTACGAATCTACTAAGAAGCCCATGACTTGACAAATGACTGAGTGATTTTCTTTATTTTGAATTCCCCCTTTTCAAAGGCCTAGCAAATATCAGGTGTAGCCCCACAAGGGAGGGTAGTGTGGGTAGATATAAGTGCAGAAAATGAGCTTAGTAATTTTCATATATTAATTACAGATATATTCCCAGTTTTGAATTTGTCAAAGTTGATATATAAGAGAGAATGTGATTTTCAGTTTCATTTTAGATATAAATCTCCCAGGAGAAGTGCATCAAATACGTGCCTTTCTAGCACAGTTTTAACAGACATCTAGCAGCTGTTGGGCTTGTTTGATCACCTTGGGGGTCTGTACTTTTCCAGTATATGGATGCAACCTGAGGTTGATTTAGCGCTTCAGAGAAGTTCAACAGATTTTCCAAAATCTCTTTGAAGAAATGGAATGCATCGTTTTTAGTTAAAAAGTTATTTTTTAAAAAGTAGAGAGGTACCTTACTAAGTTTGTATCTTTATAAAACAAGGGAAAATTATGCTTTAGAATAAGAATATTATTTTATCATTTCAGCTAGTATCTCTGTCTCCTGACATTTCAACATTTTCCCCATGCACTATACTTAACTTGTCCAGATAAGTCCACATTTCTCAAACCCTCTCATTGATTTCATAGGCAATAATTTTTTCTATGACAACAGCATTAATTCAGAGTCATCTTTCTTCAGTTAAACAGAGTTGCTTACTTAAAGATATATGTGTGTGTGTGTGTGTGTGTGTGTGTGTGTGTGTGTGTGTGTGTGTGTATGCTTGTGGAAGTTTATACTGTTAGCCAAGATAGTAAAGCTGCTGGTCCTGGGACAACACTTTGAGTGTCTCATTTTAAATCTATTGTATTGGTCATCTTTTATCTTTCAATTTTATTGAGCATGCTGGGGGAAGAGGCTAGTTTTACTTATATTTTACATACCATTGTTGTTTGCTTGTATCTCATACTACAACTAGGAGTTCAGCCATACTTCTTTAACTTGAAAGACTTGTAATATATCTCTTGCCTTCTATAGATAATGCAATACAGGATATTCAAAATAATTTGATATGGAAAAAATATAATAAATAATACATAATGATTATATGTGAGAAATAATTGGAGGAACTTGGATATTTTTCTTAGAGAATGTTTGAGAGACAGACCTTTCTACATACACTTAAGTGGATACTCTATGGAAGAGGAATAGGATTTGTTCTTTTTGCTTTAAGGTACATGGACATTCAAGAATTCAAGTGTTAGGCTCTCAAGACTCAACCAATCATCACTTTTCTTGAAAAATATTCATAGTAATCCATTGCTCCTTTTCTTCCACCTCAATCACAACTGGATTAGTTTCTGTTCTCTCATTTCCCACATTTATTTCATACTTATTTTTCGCTTGCACTTACCACTGTGAATTAAACGTATTTGCATCTGTCTCTCTAGGTAAAATAAATAAATAAAATATTAAGAACTTGAGAGATGGGAATAGGATACCTTATTCATGTTTGTATTCCTAGTAACTAGCATACAGGTTTACTAAATTTCCTAAAGCTATAAAAATTAGCACAGTAGATGGATGTTTCAGAGAGACACTTCAGGTCAAACTAAGAAGGACCTTATTCAATCCAGTATGCATTTAATGAATCCTAATGATTACCTCCTAAATATCA